CCGAAATTGTAATTGCGTTGCGGGGATAGTAAATATTGTCCGATCGAGTTGCGATTTTTTGCATTGTGTTCTACGACTCAAATGTCCACTTTTCCGCACCCCGCCGAATCCGCGCGGAAGAAAACCCTGTTTTCAATACACCCTATTCGCCAGTGCGATGCTGATAAGTAGTGCGTGATGCTGTGAGGAGGGCTACCCAGCTGCGCCGCTCCGCGCCAGCCTCGCCCCGCCCCACACCACCCCGCCTCACCCCACCCCATCATCACCCTCACCTAACGCCCACTTCCGCCGCCATAGTGGCCGCCTCGTTCGCCATACGCAACCCCGCCCCACAGGCCAGTGTTACCACCCGAACAAAATATCCCTCCTGGGTCGCCAAAGCCCAAATATCAGAGGACAAATGCTCCAGCAAAAAGTTGCAAGGGAATCGACCATCGGTGTTTTAAACCAGTCGGCACAGCGTGAAGGGCCCTTTAGCGTTACTATGTCTGTTCTCACGCGAACCCACCGGGAAATTTTGTGGTCACCCCATGTCAACCCTTGCGCTCCGAGCTCCGACCCGGGTCCAAACCCGCCCTGCGCCGCCCCGCCCCACGCCGTCCCGCCCCGCCTCGCCCCGCCCCGCGGTGCTGGCTCCCTGCCCTGGGCGGCCCCGCCCTGCCAAGCCCTCCCAACTCAACTTTCCCCCTCCCCTCCCCACCATTCCCTCCCCTCTAGTTGTACCTCCGGGGCCTCGACTGGCTCGCGCCTGCGTATCCCAATCGATAGTGTGGGGATGAGATGAAAGATTAGGTCATCAAGATTTAACTTTTGCAATAATTAAGCATGAATGTGACGACCAACGTAACCGACCTGAGTTCTGATTGTTAGTACGCCTGGCTGTATTGCCCGTCGACCCAGCTGTTGGGCTGTGAAGGTAGAGTGCCGCCGTTGTTTATACTCAGAGGACACCTTGTGTTTATGTCCTGGTAAACGAAACGCAATGTTCTTGAACGTGGAATGTACAAGTGTTAATAATTGTTTCTCTACCGTTCAGGAGCCGTTTGAGTGCGAGGCCGCTCTACTGTGACTACAAACAGATGTAAACATAACCCTACTTTGAAGGAAGCCTACAGGTGCCAAAGTTCCAAGAAAACGCTAATATATACACCGTTGGTGGGTATTATCAAACATTTTTCGGTTCAAAAGAGCACCCTTCTCCTTCAGTGTAGCCTTCTCCGATCGCGCATAATCGACAAGACGGCATTGTTTTCAAGAACCTAACCAACTTTGGGCGCCCGTTTACGCTGAGATTGAATCAGTTCCACTCACCTCCCATTAGTGTTTGCACTTCTGCATTTATATTTGAGCTTTGAAGACTTTTTCGAGACGTCTCCGACTCCGACACTCGTCGAATGCTGAATAGGTTTCGTCTCGCGGTCCAGTGTTCGTCAAGCGCCAACCCAGTTCAGTTTGCCCGAGCGTTGTGTACACACGATCAGTGTCAAGCTAGATCTAAAAAAAAACATATCCATTGTGTTTGTAGTGCATTTGTTTGTTTTGTTTTCATGTGACCGAATTGTGTAAATAGTAGTCCTTGCGTCCCTTGTAGTGGTTTTCAAACAATTCCGTTTCTTTGTCACAAGTTTGGTTTTCTTTGAATGAAGGTTGTCTGCTATCGCCTCAAGCATACGTGTCGCTTGTTCTTTTCTGGTTATTTGGGTTTCATGGTCAATTTATCTGCTCTTTTCTGGTACTGCTACAAACGTGTAACGACTGACAGTATTTCGTTCAACGTTTATTATGGTTTGCTCGGCTTGATTATTGATATTTGTTTCAGTAAGTTAGGTTATGGGTGGGCTTTTGCATAGGAGATGCGTGGGGTAGCGACAGCCAGTCTGGCGGTATCCATTGTGTGTTGAGACCTCACTCGACCGTGAGCTTGATTATATTCCCGTATTGCGTTTCGAGATAGGTTAAGTTTTCTGTAGGATTTAAGATTTCATGCAATGTTAATTCTTTATTTGTGAGTTGGAAAAGTTATTTTTGACTTAATTAGTCAGTGTAGAATGATCCAAGTTATTCAATGTGTCATTCATTGCAGCGAGACATTTTAAGATGTTAAATTTACTTCTGGCGATTTTTTTTTTTTAATTTCTTTTGTCATCTGTAATTTGAATGATAACTTTAAATTTATTTTGTTTTTCAGGTGCCAGTGCTTCACTTTGTTCCTTCAATGAATTGAGAAACGTGGCTGTTAAGGTACAATTTTTGTCGATGACAGCTCATACCAAGTGGACTAAATTTCCGACGGAACATAAGTTCTTATGTTCAGCAACCAACATCTTCACCAGGCAGTTACAAACTTAAGTGAGTTAACTTTTCTCAAAGATATTCAAAATGCAGTTTGCTAAATTGTGTAGATTATAGCATTTTGGTAAAGCTGAAATGTTTAAGAATGAGGGAATCAAGAGAACGGAAGTCACCATGCTTTAGCATAGTGATATCTGTTTTTTTGTGCCCCTCATTCTTCTTCTTTTCTGCTTTACCAGAATGCCTTATTAATTTACACACTTTTACATGGTCTTTAGATAATTGTATAGTCTGCCAAAAAAAGTATCAAACCTTTTTTCTTTCTCTTTTGCTATATTTAAATGAAATGATTCATCTCTCTCTCTCTCTCTGGGACTCCCCACTGTAACGTTCCTCACTCTTTTTCCTCTCCAGGACGATCGTGGAGCGCGCGTGGAGAAGCGGGCCTGACAGGGTCATGACGACGGCCCCACACTCGTGCGCGCCGCCCATCCCCCCCGCGCACAGCCATGTCCCGGTGCCCGTGCCGGGGGCCCACGGGGCGGCGGGGGATGCCGGCTTCATGCAGCACTCGTGCTGGATGTGCGGCAAGAGCTCGGCGACGCACCGCGATAACGTGACGCACATGATGACCCACCTGAACGAGCACCAGCCCTACCTGTGCATGATGTGCGGCCAGCGCTTCCCGCACGGCCACCTCATGTCGCAGCACGTGGCCGCGCACGAACAGTACGCCGCGATCGCCAACGCGGCCGCGGGCGCGTCGGCCACCACCGGGGGCTCCAGCGGGGGAAGCTCCGGGTCCACGGGCTCCGGGAGCGCGGGCGGCTCCGGCACCTCGGGCTCCAGCTCGAGCCAGGCGCAGGAGAACGGGCGCAGCTCGGAGGAGAGGGTGACCAACACCCAGGGCAGCCAGTTCCACCCGCCCAACCCCTGCCCGAGCCAGAGCCAGAGGACACCCTCGCAGTCGCAGACCGCCGAGTGCGAGACCTGCGGCAGGAGGTATCATGCCCAGCCCAGACCAGCCCAGCCCGCGTAGACCGCTGGTGCTGTTGAATAAGCCGTCAGCCTGGGTATATGAAGGGATTCCTTTCGAAATAGATCTCAATTTTGAACAATTTGTGTTTAAACATGGATATAATTTTTTTTTTCAATCAATGTCCTGCAAGTCAAAGCCAAATTCTGATGGTTTTAATTATAAGTTAGAGGAAATGGAAACTCATGGCTTATTTTTCAGCACTGGTGCGCCAGATGAACAAAGTGTGATTTCCTGTTTATTGCCCCTCTGACTTAAATTGAATTCTAAAAATCAGTCTTTATTTCGTCAGAATGGCAGGATTTTACTCTTTGTCTTCTTTTGCGCGCTGTTAGTGTTAAGGTTTTCAATAATCCTGTGTCATTTAAATTTTTTTATTCAAAGTTTTTTTTTTTGTTTTTTTTTTTTGTTTTTTTTTTTGTTTTTTTTTTCAATATCTGAAAGAAGCCTTTATGATCAGACTTTGTCAGACTATTAATTCTTCAAAACCCAAATGCCTTTTAATTTCTCTTTTACTGTTGAAGCACAGTATATCTTGTTACAATTAAAGACACAGACATATTGAAAGCTGCTTGTACATAGTTATTTTCTGTGATATGTAGACATTTTATCATGTCTCAGAGTAAGTATGTGTGATTTACCAGATTTATACAATTTTTATAACTTTCCCTTTGCTCAATTTAACTCATTGAGAATATTTTTGTTCTTCTTTAGTGGTGTGGCCGTAAAACTACACAATTTTAACATATCTTCTGGTATCTATTGGTTCTGGAATTGTTTCTTCCATTTTGTCTGCCCTTCATCTTTTTCAAAATTACACTACCTCTTTATGTCTTTGGTTTCTGGTTCTGTCTTCCGCATCTTCATTGGTGATCTATCCAGGAAGGTAACTTGAAATAATGAATAATTTTTGTTTCCAGAGATTTGGTCGGGAGCCACCGTTTGGGCCATGATGACAAGCCATTCAATTGTTCATCATGCAGTAAGGGCTTTGTATGGAAGTCAGACTTCACAAAACACCAAATGATGCACTCTGGTGAGAAGCCATTCAAATGCCAGTGGTGCTCCAAAGGTTTTGCGTGGAAGTCAGACCTCAACAAGCACACTATGATCCACACAGGGGAGAAGCCGTTCAAATGTGACCTCTGCACCAAGGGATTCATCTCCAAGTCGGACCTGTCCAAACACCAGATGATCCATGTCGGGGAGAAGCCATTCAAGTGTCACCTCTGCGGGAAAGGATTCGTCTGGAAGTCGGACCTCACCAAGCACCTCATGGTACATACGGGTGAGAAACCATTTAAATGTGATCTCTGCCCAAAAAAGTTTGCTCGCAAGGACAAACTCAAGTACCATGTTCTCACTCATAGTGAACATAAGCCTTTTGCATGTGAGGTTTGTAGTAAGGGTTTTGTATCCAAGTCGGACTTTCAAAGACATCTTATTGTCCATTCTGGTGAAAAGCCCTTTAGATGTGACCTCTGCAGCAAAGGGTTTATAACAAAGTCTGATCTTACAAAACATCTAATGATTCACATTGCCGAGAAACCTTACAAGTGCCAGCTATGTGGCAAAGGGTTTGTTTGGAAATCAGACCTTACAAAGCACCTTATGATACATACTGGGGAAAAGCCTTTCAAATGTGAGATGTGCAGTAAAGCTTTTGCACGAAAGGACAAGTTGAAATGCCATCTACTCATTCACAGTGAGCAGAAACCTTACGTCTGTGAGGTGTGTGGCAAGGCTTTTGTATCCAAAGACAGCTATCGTCGTCATGTTATGATTCATTATGGAGATCAACCTGTAGAATGGAGAGTATGCAGTGCAAGAATTGCCTAGCAAAAGGAAAGGGGCGATGCTGCTCCTATCATAAGCCATCACCCCCACATTCCTAACTCTCCTGTTGGAGGAGAGCATTTTCTTGCACACCTGTGAGTGGTATGTTTTGTTAATTTTGAGTCACTGGATACCATTGTGAATATTGTTCAAGAACTTAAATACCTAGGCAGAACTTTTGTGGCTTCCAAGTGCAATTGGCACTATGCACTGATTTGAAATGACCAGAAACAAAGACATGTGGAATGTCTGCTTCAAATCTAAACCAGATGTGATGACAGCCTGAAAATTGCTATTCTCTTAAGTTCTCCTTACCTGGGCCAGATCTGTACCAAAATCTCAAATTGTCTGTCATTCCTCATTTTTGTTTGATCTATGGCATCAGGTACAGTCATGTCAACCTTGTCTGTGACAAGGGAACAATAATAGACTTACAGAAATGTGAACATTTTTGAGGTAACAGTGAAAAGATTCTACATGGTTCTGTTTCTATTTCCTACCTGATTAATGTAAGCAGCCTTTGTCACTACATTGCAAATACTATGTTAAGTCTAGAGAATTTATTGGTCTGACAGATGGGATTTAAACAATTTGAATCACAACTGTTAGTACTTTTAAGTAAAGCATTTGACCGACACATAATGGTATGCTTGTTCAAGAGGGAGCTATAAGCAATTTCTGTGTGATATTATACAACCCTCCAAGTGGTATGTTAGTTTTTATTATTTGATTCGTCATTTTACCGTAATTACAATATACAAAAATGCGAGTCATGATTGTAATCTAGTTGTATGACCTCATGGCAAGATTGATAGATTAAACCTAGACTATTTGAACTGTTACCTTTCTGGCTTCCTATCACACACTCAAAGTGTAGAAGCCTTTATTACCAACATTGTCATGAATTATTTGTATACTGGGGGATTTGAACCAACTATTCGATCTAAATGATACTTTTATCAGTTTCATATTGTTTTGATTAATTTTTAGTAGAGGCGTCAAAGTGATCAGGATTAAATCCATAGCAGCGAACAAATGTCCATGGTGCTACTATTAATTTAGCATGTCCAGACCAAATTTTTACTCTACTGTTAGAGTGCTTTCCCTGTTTTTTTTTTTTGTTTTTTTTGTTTTGTTTTTTTTACATGAGAATGAACCTTTTTTCCTAGTTTTTGCCATAACACCAAGAATGATTGATTATTGAATGATAGTTTGTGTGAAAATGTGTAATTAAAAAGATATTTCAATTTGTAGAAAATGTTTAAGTCAATACATGTTATACAAATTACTCTGTTAAAAGTGTCATGTGATGTACTTAGCAATGTTATTTGTATTTAGTTATCTGTTTGATATTCTATCAAATTAATATAAAGAAATGTGGCCTATTATGGCCAACAAGCATTTATGTCTTTTAGAAAAACAAACAAAATCATTTGATGTTATGTTTTTAGTTCATGTGACACAGAGTATATCATACAATAAAAGAGATAAAGAACTTAAAATGATGAGACTAAAATGCCATGCTTGAATAGCACCAGCACCGCAATGTAAAAGAAAATATATGGAGTGAAATAAACGTAAGAGAGTATATGGAAACCGTTCTCTATTATATGTTTTGTATAGACATACTGTTTACCATATGATTGTCCTGTACTGTCTACCGCCAAGAGGAGGCATACGGTCCTGTGTGTGCTTGTGTGACATAGCCCGGCCCAGATAGCTGACTTTTATGAATGCCATTTGATGCAAGAGGACCTGAGCATTTATCTGGCTTGTCCTCAGCTAGTCGGGAACAAGCTAATCCGCTGGTTTTGGCAGATAAGCGCATTCGTCTCCTATGACTCGTCGGACATCGCGTGAGGGGAGGCAAAGGATAAGACTGGGTTGCCTATCCACAGGAGTGCCAAGCTCTCGGCACGAAAGTCACTGCCAAGCCCGGCGCACCGTTAGGGCGGCCTGAAGGTGGGGGTAGGTGTTTCAGTGCTGAGAGGTTGGCGTCTGCTTGGCCGATACTCTTTCTCTCTCGTGCGCGCAGCGTCCCCGAGCGCTCCATTTAGACGGGTGTCCCCCGGCCCCGGCGCCAGCGGCGCGTCTTAGTAACACTTTGGCACATCAGTCGCCGGCATGCAGACGTGAAGTCTTCAGCCTCTCGGCACGCTCGACTACTCTACCGGCCATGCCTCGGCAACCCATTCTGAGTACGTAAAGTTCCCCTGCCCTTCCCGACCTCGTACCCCATCCGCCAGACAATGCGATGGCCTGATGTGTTGTTTCCCCCTCCCCCATGTGACCTCACGGTTAGACAAGTCAAGCACCGCGGCGCATTTGCTTGGGCGTCCGCCGAGCCTGTACTGACCTCACTAGCACGCCCGATGCACCTTCCTGGCCGCGGACCAGGTCCACCGTCTGGCTACTATCGCGATGTCATGCTCGGCCGCGGAGTATGGCCAGACGCAGCCGCCGATAATGCCAGCGCTCATAAGAGGGCCCCAGACATTAGATATACTCCTCGGCCGAGTGGCTCTACCACCTGGCAGTGGTGGCGACTCTGCTACTTGTGTTGTTTGATTTATGAAGGCTGTATCGGTACATGCCGTGTGACGGGGCTGCGGCCTGCCGCTTAGTTAGCAGTTTGCGGGTTCGCCTTCACTTCAACTTCAACGAGGGTTATAACGACGACTGCTTACACGGTCCAATTCTGAGGCGCCTTGGCCTCCGCGGTAGGCAAACCCGCAACACTGCTGTGTCGTAGCTCTGACACACGGTCCATCCATTATAGCCACCCAGTCGCCTTTCGATCTTTTGGGCGACTCCTGCTCGACGCCTGCCTGCAGGTCTCAGGGTAGGCCATCCCGCAGTGCACGCATGCACTGCCACTGCAGATGTTGCCTACCCATCAGGCGCTATGAGAGCTTGCGTCTGCTGAGCTCGGCTAGCTCGTCACGGCGAATGACGGGCGTACTTTCTGGATGGACCCTAATCCATCCTTTCATTCTGGTTATGCGGTTCTACTCTACCCGATGCAGGCGTGCAGACTGGTTGCATGCTCGCAGGGGGCCGCAAGGTGCCGTGGTAAGGAGCGGTAGCCAAGCCTGACCGCACGCCCGCATTCGGTGTAGTAACCCGACGAAAAGGGAGGGCCTCGAATCCACGCCAATGCTTTACATTTCGTCTCTTCCCCTGAGAGTTTTATCAATTTCTTGTCGACGCCGCTGATAGAGATGTTTTGTTCAGCGTTCGTGCCGTCATGGGTGCAGCAGCGGTATGTGCTGTCCGTGATGTTGCTCCTGGCCGTCATGAACATGTATACGATGCGCGTGTGCCTGTCGGTGGCCATCGTGCAGATGGTGTCCCACGACACGCCCGGCGGCGGCGACGGTGGTGACGCCGGCGCGATGGTGGTCGTGGACCCGGATCGATGCGACCCTCCCGGCGGCAACCAGACCTCCGGCGGTGACCCGGCCTCCGAAACCGTAAGCATATCGAGAACAACTCGTCCTGGTGATTGGTACAGTGCCCCCTCCAACCCCTCCAGGGCCCGCGACCAATAATAGCCGCACGCGTGGTCCGCACTCTCTGACCCTCTGCCCTTCCCACTGCTCCAGGACGGCGAGTTCGCGTGGTCACCGACGCTGCAGGGCGTGATCCTCAGCTCGTTCTACTACGGCTACGTCGTCTCGCACCTGCCGGGCGGCGTGTTCGCCGACCGCTTCGGCGGCAAGCACGCCCTGGGCTACGGGCTGCTCGTCACCAGCGTGACCACCCTGCTGTCGCCCGTGGCCGCGCGCCTCGGCTCCGGCTACCTCATCGCCATCCGGATCATCATGGGGCTGGGCGAAGTAGGTGAGCGGTGCGGGCGAGCCCGGCGGCGAGCCTGCCCAATTGGCCCTTCACAAAAAAATAAAAATAAAAGTAAATCAGTGTACACCTTTTGAAAAAGAGAAAAAAATGAAAAAATGAAAAAAAAAAAAAACAACAGAAAAATCGGTGTACGGTAGAATTTGTATAGTGAAGTACCCCCTGGAGCCTTGCCCCGTGCGCCGTGCGCCGTGCGCTGGCACGCTGTGCATATTGCTCTAATCCGCACCCTCCTGTTGCAGGGCGTCACCTTCCCGGCGATAAGCGCTCTGCTGTCTGAATGGATCCCGCCGTGCGAGCGCAGCCGCCTGGGAGCCTTCGTCTACGCTGGTAGGCCCACCCCGTCTTTCTTTATTTTCTACTTGATTTATCTCAGTCAGTGGGTCATTTCGGAGCGCATATGCCGCAGGCCTGCGCGTCCCCGATCACTAAGCGATCTCGGATCGCGATCCTTCCAGCCCCGGGCGAGGAGGCACCCCGCCTGTGCACCTGCTTGCGGTACAGTATCAGCACAAAGTGCACGGCTCGGCGCGCGTCGTACCGCCTGGTTCTGGTGCACTGCTGCGTAGTAGTGAACGTACGTAGAGCGCCCTATCATTCATTACGGCGTCGTGCTTGGCTGCCCACGCCGTCCGGCCCGGTTGGGCAAGAGTCCCAAGATACTTTTATACTTTCTCACCCTCTGCGCTGGCAATACACATCATGCAGCCCCTTCGGGTTACACTTGATTGAACACGTGCAAGTATTCAACATACAGTTGTACACTTGCAAGTATTTAACTTGCAGTTACACACTTGCGGCACACAAGTGTTGAGCAGTTGATATTCATTCTTCAGTACCCCGTTCAGTACGCAATTTTTAAAATCCCATCGAAAAAAAAATGCCTCAACAACATAATTTCCCCCTAATTGTAGACATTTTCGACGTTTTGGGGAATAATTTGTTGACATCTTTCATGCCAAAAGTGACAGCCTGTAAGGTCCCTACCCACAGGTGCGCAGCTGGGCAGCGTGCTGGGCACGGCGGGGGGCGGGCTGGCGCTGCACTACCTGGACTGGCCCGCCACCTTCTACATCTTCGGCGCCCTGGGCATGGCGTGGTACGTGCTGTGGCTCTTGCTCTGCTACTCGTCACCCTCCGAGCACCCCTTCATCTCGCAGGAGGAGCGGGATTTCTTGGCGCACCAAATCAAGCAGGTTGGCTTTTATTTCTCTCTTGTGCAACTGAGTCACTTTGTGAATGTAAAACTGCCGCAGGCTAAGCAGCATTTCTTTTATTATTTTCATTATCAATTTACCCGTGTTTTGGATTTATTTATTGACATGGTTGGAGGACAGATTCTCAGAGTTGGTAAAGCGCCTGTGAGGTAGGCAAAATACGGCCACGCTGTCTGGGCGGGTGGCCTACCCTTCAGTTGGCAGGGGCTTTTGGTTGGCTGATGTTTGTGGTCGCGGTCGTGGCTTATGGTCGCCGACAGGCCAAGTAAGCTCGGCCCCTGCCGAACGGAGTTGCCTGCGGAGCGAAGTGGCGCGGCGCTGGCAACTTCGTTTGGCGGAAGGGCGGGCCTGTTTTTGTTTTCAGTTAGGGAAAGCAAAATTTTAAAGACAGAGAAAAAGGTTTATTATGTTTTAATTTTAATTTCGTTGTGGTAGTGCTTTCGCCCGCACAAATTATATGCGCATGCGCAGATTGTGACTTTCTGAGATACTAGAGAATCGAGGGCAAACGGAATGGATTGGATGTTAAGACTGTATTGGTGGTTGGAGGAGTAAGCAACGTTTGTTGTGAGCAGGCAAATTAAAACGAACCAAAGCGTAGCTAGAAAGCAAGGTTAGACGTGGCTGTCCATTGTCTAATGCAGCAATGAAACATGGGCTATCTTTGCGGTGCGTACTGTCCAGGTCGGCGCCTGTGAAACTCGGGGTAGGCCACTCTGCAGTACACGTATGCACGGCACGCACGGTTTTGCCTACCTACCAGGCGCTATGAGAGCTTGCTTTGGCTGTGCTCGGCAGTTTCGTAACGGAAAATAACGGACGCACTGATTGCTCCCAACAGTCAAAGAAACGAGCTTACTCCTTCGCACACAAATAATATTGTGTTCCACCTCTTACGTTATGCGCACGCTAAAACTGACTGCTTGGAAACCAAGAACCGAGCAGTCATTTTTAGCGTGCGGATGGGATTGAGAGGCCTAATATTTGCGCTACAGGTGGGCGGCGAATCTGCAGCGCGGCCGCGGACTCCGTGGCGGGGCATCCTGACGTCCCGGCCCGTGTGGGGGCTGGTGGTCATCCAGGTGGGGCACGACTGGGGCTTCTTCACGCTGCTCACGGACCTGCCCAAGTACATGCGCAGCGTGCTCCGCTTCGACATCGCACAGGTCAGTCATAGTCATGTGAAGTCTCGAAAAAAGGTTGTGCCTCGGGGTGTCACAGCAGCCGACGGGCCCGCCTGCAAGCGCCCACCGATTTTCTCCGTTTTTTCTTGATTTTCTTTGATTTGTTTTTCTGAGTTTATCTGATAATTTTAATTGCTTTTTATCGAGTTTTCGACAGAAATTCTGATTTTCCCTGTTTTTTTTTTGGCGGGGGGGGGAAGGGGGTAACACTGATTTGTTTAGTGGGGTCACCCCCTCCCCACGCCATCATGTTTTTCTTGTTGCTCAGAACGGCGCGCTGTCGTCGCTGCCGTACCTGACCATGTGGGGCACGTCCATGGTGTTCGGCGCCGTGGCCGACTGGCTTATCTTGCGGGGCACCCTGTCCGTGCTCAGCGTGCGCCGCCTGTTCACGACCATAGGTGAGCTGAGTAACCGCCTTGAAGGTCGATAGAACATCTGTTTTCCATTTCTTTGAAATTTTACAAAACGCAACATCAATAACATTGGCAGCGTCGCTGACGTGCGCCGTGGGCATCATCGCGGCCTCGTTCGCGGGCTGTGACTGGGTGGCCGTGGTGGCGCTGCTGACGGCGGGGCTGGGCGGCATGGGCGGCGCCTACTGCGGCATGCGGATCAACGCCCTGGACCTGTCGCGCCGGCACGCCGGCACCGTCATGGCCCTCGTCAACGGGGTGGGCGCCGTGTCCGGGATCGTGTCCCCGCTGCTCATCGGCATGCTCACGCCCCACGTGAGTACTACACTGCCTCGGCCACGAGCCGGATCGCTTTGCCCGTTTCCATTTTCCCCCCAAAATAAATAAATAATCAAACATTGTCATCACCGTGATGGTACCCCTGCTATGTTTTCGTGCTGTTCAGGAGACGATGGCGGAGTGGCGCCTCACCTTCTGGATCGTGTTTGGAGTGCTGCTCGTGACCAACACGGTCTACGTGCTGCTGGCGCGGGCCGACATCCAGCCGTGGGATCGGCCCGAGGCGGAGCCGTACGCGCCATACCTGCCCTCGTCGCATTCCGCCGAGCACCAGGGGGAAGGTCGAGGGTGAGGTCGGACGTTGAGGGACAAAGGGTTTGAGCGAGAGAAAAGAAAAGTCTGTGCATTTTGTTATTTGTTCAAAATAAAATAGCGAGGTAGATTTGTCGTTAAAATATTTAGTATGCGCAGCGTTGATTTAACAGTCTTGTTTGGTGGGCTTGAGAGCGCGTTTGTTGATTTTGTTGAGCTCGATGGCGGCATCTACTTCCTTTTGGGCCGCATCGGTCAAGGTGGGGGCACGGCCGAGGACCCAGACAGATTCTGTGGGCAGAGCAAATTATGAGTGACACAATATCTCGGCAGCTGGCCGTTGAAATTCGTCGCAGCCACCACGGCTGCCATATTTTACTTCTTAATAACTTACCAATCTTTAGGAAGCCCAAAAGATCCGTGCATGAGTAAACGAGGGAGTAGTTGTCGTAGTCGGTGGCGAGCACCCAGTAGGGGGCTTCACGCTTGCCAAAGACTAATTTTGCAAAACACAAGAAAGGCATGTTTTTACCAACTGACTTACACCTTATCAGGGTACTCTAATCTGAAATCTCTTTTAGTGCTTACTAGGAACATTGAAGACTACGTTGAGCTCTCCTTTGTCCTGGCTAGTGAGGTCGGCGTAGCCACTCTGGCTTACTTCGCCGCCGAAGCTGGACAAGAATACAGAGATGAAAATCGAACCTGTTGACACTTAGCTTTTCCCATCCGGTGCGAGACTTACATGGTCTGCATAGTGTTCTTGACGGTCACCCTGCCGCTCACGTCTTGGTCCAACTCGTAGTCAGCGGTGGCGCACTTGCCCGCGAGCTCCCAGATCTGGGCGAAGCGCTCGATCTCGTACCACTTGCCGACATACTGGTGAAAGCAAAACCAAAGGGTGGTTGCATCAAAATTGGTGAGCACTTTTCGCTTACGCAGCTGCTATTCAGCTGTGACGCTAGCGTCACCCCAAATGTCATAATTAAAAAGGTAAGACAACAACGGGATATGCTACAGAAAACAGAGTCGCCTTTCGGGCGTGCACAATTATTATTCCGTCACCAGCTTTGTATGCGAAGTTTGCATGTGCATATGCCTTCTTCCCTTGCTGTGTTCTTCAAGCAGCAGAAAAGGTTATCTTTCATACATCTTTGTGGTACAAATTGTACAGGGTGAAGGAGGCAGGCATTGGAGACGGCCTATGTCATGCAAACTTCGTATACAAAGGTGTAAAACGAGAGTACGTCAAAGGTGAACGCCAGAAAGAGAGACAAGTCGCTCTGTATTCTGTAGCATACACCATTGTTGGATACACCTTGTACACCTTCTTTGAAATAAGAGTATACAATTGACGAATCTCTCCTCTGACAACTAGGGGGTTAACTCAAACACAAGCTTTACCTCGAGCTTTACCTTCTTGCCAACAGCAAGAGTGGAAAAAGTTCTTCAAACGGACATTGTAAACTGCCAAAACGTAAAGCCTTTTTTTTGTGGCAAAAGTCTAGTGAGAATTTTGGGGTGTACTACTCACTCTTGTGGGCAGGAAGGGCGTGACCGCGCCGCTCTCCTTCCGGCAGGAGCCGAGGCTGATCTCGAAGGCCAGGGCCTGAGCGGCCAGGCAGAGGCACACAAAGAGTACGGCGGCGGAGGAGTTCATCTTGCGATACGAGATGCGACTGTGGCGTCCGTCCGCGAGGTCCCCTTTTATTTACTCTGTTTTGCAAACCTACTGGGCCTTCGTTACGTAACAAGTAAGTGTTTTCAGGTTGGCCGGCCCGACTGCGTTCAAGTGCGGTGCGCCATCTGCGATTGTGACACTTGAGCAAACAATACAGAGTCCGAACAGCACGTTTTCTTTTCGAAAAGGTAGTAATTATTCGCACCTGCTGTTCTTAACTTTGTTTTGTGACATCTACCTACAGTGTGTTTTAATGGCGCCATTTTATTTTTATTCAATACGATGCATCTATTTATGGCTACTCGCAAACTGCTTCAGCTAGGTGAAAATGGGCACCGGAAATGGCTCCGTCCACATTCCATGTGAGCACCCTATGCCTAGATACACGTGTTGGTCGTTACGGTATGACTTACCATAGTTTGTCAAGAGACTTTACAATTTAAATGAAGCACTTTCTTGGGACAGTTGACCATGGGTTGAACTATGGGACAGGTCTCGAATGAGGTCGAGTCTCTAAAGTGACAATTAAAGATGACATCCAAGGTAAAGCTGCCAAAAATCTATGTGGAATGGCACTTCATAAGGTTGTGTCTCCCATGGCGGGAGGCGGCAGGTTGCCTACCGCGACCGCTCTCCCATCTCCCTCCGAGCCTGAACGCCAAGTGCGTAGGCAACCCATCAGCTCCCGCGTATCCTCCCAGACACAAAGTATGAATAGGCCCCTTCAACGCTTGTTAGCGTTCAAGACGCCAATATTTGGCGTTCTTGGAAGAAGGCCACGGGTTGTACTTTCGCAATGAATCAACATCAAATCTGGTCTTAAACACTGAATCTGGATTTGTGATAAATTAACCCTCATTTCTGCCATAACTCGTTTTTTACGATTCCTTCTATTTATCGCTTTTCTGGACATGGGAAAGTAATCACAAAAATAATGTGATAACTTTTTATCGCAAGTTTTTGTGATAAACATAAATACTAGCTCCCGTTATACACAACAACAAAAGTTATCGTATTATTTTTGTGATAACTTGCCCTTATACTTTTCATTGCATGTTCTTTTGCGATAAAAAGTTATCATGTCTATAAAAGCGATAAATCAGAGGAATCAGAAAATTGAGTAATCGCAAACTTTTGTGATAAAAGTATCATAGATCCAGATTCAGTGAAGACCAGTCACGTTGCATTTCAAGTAAGATGACCGATTACATAAAGAGATTAGGAAGCCCAGGTTTACAAGTGGGCTTGCACGTTCCGTCCCCGCATGGCAAGCCAACCGCGCTGCGCGGGAGGACGCTCGCCACTAGGCAACCAATTTTACACTGAAAAAAGGAAGGTGCTACATAGTACTTATGTAGAGGTGCTCAAAAAGTTTTGAGTTTAGTGCCTTTCTTGAAGCATGCGATGTAGCCCTAAAGGCTCTAAAAGTTAGTGCCTTTGGCAGTTTTGATGATCCTCGATTCGCAATAAATTTAAAAAGGCATGAAAACTGCGAAAGGCACTAATTTTAGGTCCTTCGAAGCTATTCATTGTTTTAACATAGTCATTCAACTCAAAATTTCTGGTTCGTGTTTGAAATGTTGCTCGTGTCGAGCGCGATCTGCGATCTGCT